CCTCCACTATATGTGGGATGACTGCCTCAGCATGGCTTGCCAAGTGGTGCCATGTCCGCAACCGGGATCCGGACCAGCGAACCCCGGGCCACCTAAGTGGAACGTGCGAACTTAACCGCTGCGCCACCGGACCGGCCCCTGGAATTGCTTTCTTAATTTCCACGTTGGACTGTTCATTGCTGGTGTATAGAAACACAACCAACTTTTGAGTGTTGATCTCATGCCCACAACTTTGCTGAATTCATTTATTAGCACTAGCCACTTTCTTATGGATCCTTGGGGATTGTCTCTATATTGGATCACGTCCTCTGTGAATAGTGACAGTTTCACTTCTTCCTTTCCAAATTGGACGCCTTTGCCTTCCTTTCCTCATCTAAGTGCTCCGGCTGGAACTTCCAGTACAATGTTGAAGAGCCGTGGGGAAAGCAGATGCCTTTGTCTTATTTCTGATCTTGGGGGAAAACTTTCAGCCTGACAGAATTTTCTTGAGGGCCTGTTATGTGCCAGACTCTGGGGAGACAACAGCACACAAGACAGACAGACACCCCTCCTTTATGGAGCTTACGTTCTACCGGGGAGAGAGTGACAAGCAAGATAAATGAGGAAGGGTGAGGCAGGTGGTGGTGGTGAGTGCCAACCAGAAACACAGCAGGGAAGCGTGAGGAGGAAGGCAGGAAGGGCGGGCTGCTCCGTGACTGAAATGGATGTAGAGGGGAGGCTCGCTGAGAGGGTGACATCGAATGAACCTCTGGAGGAAGTGAGGGAGGGAGCCACAGAGAAATCTAGGGGGAGAGCATTCTGGGCAGAGGGGACGGCGGTACCTAGATGCTGAGGGGACTGTGCCTGTCCTGCCCAAGGAATACAGTGGCCAGAGTGGCAGGAATGGAGCAAGCACAGAGGGGACAGCTGTTTGTTGCATCTCCCCAAACTCTCTGAGAGCGGGCACCACCTCTGCACCGACCTCTGCACCCACAGCCTCGCACAGTGCCTGACACATAGTAGGTGTGGCCTGACATGTGGACGCCCGCTCCTCCCACTTGGCACCAGCTGGGCTTCAGATGGCCCCATTTGGCAGCTCCCCAGATGAAGTTTGGGTCACTTAAAACCATGTTTCCTAAAATTGCCAAATTAAACTACTGCATCCAGCCTTTGCCCACCCCCCAGTCAGGGATGTCAGGGAAGGCCCAGCCCTCTGTGGGTTTAACAGATCTCTCTGGCTCCCACACCCTCCTCTGACGCTCCCAGTGTGGGGAATGTGGACTTGAGGGGCAGCAGGCGTGCCCCCGGGGGTCTGCGCCTGGCGAGTGAGGCTCCTTCAGCAGGATGGACCTTTCCAGCCTCCTCCTCCCATGCCTGCCTCTTGGAAAATACTTTCAGCCACTCAATGAACACCCCCTCCCCATGAGGCTCAGGCTGGGTTCTTGCCTGGATGTCAGGGCCCCAGAGATGGAGGGACCAGCTGCAGGCCACATCTCCCTGAGCTGGCTCTGCACTGGGGCAGGTGTGCAAGGCACGGGGGCCAGAGCTGGGGCAGGTCCTGCCGTCCTCGCCCCCACCAGCCCTAACTGGGAAGGCTTGGAGTCCACTCTGGGCTTTCCCTGACTCCTCTGCCCGGCCAAGGTCTTTATCAAGTGTCCTCTGTCCTCTGCACCACGGGTGAGGCCTTGCCCGGGGTCTTGAGGGAGGCCGTGGGCAAAGCAGCCGCTAGTCATAAGTCATACAAACCAGAAACTGGGCAATTTCCTGCTTAAACCCTTCCCATCACCTCAACAAAACCAAATAGTCCTCCCAATGGCCCACAAGGCCCTACCCATGGGGTCCACATTGGCCTTCTGTGTCGTCCTCTAACACTCATTCCCATCTCAGGGCCATTCCTGGGCCTTCCCGCTGCCTAGAATGCTCTTCCCCCACTCTCTCCTCCTTCAGGACCGTTATTGAAGATGGTGCAGTCACCTCCTAGAGGCCCTTCCTGGTCACCCCTCCCATTTAAACTACTCACGCCACCTGCTCAAAGCTTCCAACGGTTTTCCTTGCCTCCACTCCTTGGCTGTTGTAAATACAGATCGGTTGTTTGTTTGCCAATGCCTGCCTCCCGCACCACAGTGTAAGTCCCATGTGGGGACTCCTCGGTTTCACTCACCCCTGAATCCCCAATACCTAGAATGTGTGCCCGCATACAGCTGGCACTTCATCAGAGTTTGCGAATAAAAAGCAAACCCAGACCTCACTCCTCTGAAGTCAAATTCCAGCTAAGTCTTTGCCCAGACCCCCACCCCCACGCCGTCCTGCACTCTCTCAGCATCTCCCTCTGACTCAGGCTTCACACACTCAGAGAGCAGCCGAGGGCCGGGAGGTGGAGTGGTGGGTGTAAGATGAGTAACAGTGGAGACACCACTAGCAGCAATGTCAATAAGGCTCCCATGGTAAGGCACTTACGATACAGCAGTTATGGTGTGCCCAGCATCGTGCTGAGCCCTACATCTCACAGGAGCTCCGCGAAGAGGCAGTGCTCCCATTCCGCAGATGAGGCCGCTGAGGCTCACAGAGGTGACACACTCGACTAGGTGTGTCTGCCCTCCGCCCTTTGGCTGGGGCTGGGGTCCAGACGCTCCATCTGCACCCGGCCTAGGCTTGGAGCTTGGTGTCCCCAAGCCCCTCACCCCTGGAGGGCTCAGTCTCCCTGCCCCCCCCCCCTTAGTCCCCAGCTCCTGCAGCGGAACCCAGGACACTGGACTCGCATTCCTCCTAGCTTGAGTCTCTAGCTTGATGCACCCCCACCCAGGCCGACTTCACTCACCTGCCTGGCTTGGCGCCCCTGCCCGGCCCGGCCCGGCAATGCCCCAGGACTGTCCACTCGGCCGTGCCTGCCTGGCCCGTTCCTCCCCAAATGCACTCAACCCAGACCAGGTCACTCAGCTCAGAGAGGCCCCCTGTTTGCAAGTTACCTCCAAGGGAGATGATACACCCAATCTTGAAGGTCAGAGGGTACCCCCTATCTAGCCCCCTTCCTGGTACCACAGGATGAATCAACATAGTTTACGAATCCTTCGGTTGTCTTGCGACAGCACAATTGTGTTGCATTGTTTTGTGTGTGTTTAGAGTTAATTTATCTGGAAACATTTCAAAGCTATCTGCTTTTTTGGGTAACCCTATTTCAGCCTTTCTTCACTTGTCAGTTTACTCTGGAGCAGAGTGAGCGAGAGCGAGTGAGTGAGTCTGCCAGTGTCACACAGTGGGGACGCCTGCGGGTAGCAGCGCATGCTTTGAAACAAGCTAAAAGCCCATTAACAGTGGCCTGCTTGAACAAGTTGTGATATATCCACGGTATGGATTACTCTTCTGCTCAAAACTCCAAAAGTACAAGGGAACTCGTGCTGTACCGATAAGGAACGGTCTCCACAAGGCGAGGGTTAATGGAAAAAAGCAAGGCGCCAGCGTGTTGTCATTGTGTGGCCGTGTGTGTGAGAAGATGAGACACTGCATCTATACGTCGTACTTGCTTGTATGTGCACGGAACACACCTGCAGGGATACGAGAGACACTAGTGACGCTGGCCGCCTCCGAGGAGGGGACACTGGGTGTCTGGGGACAGAGTAGGGGTAGGGAGGTCTTTCACAAAGGGGTTTATGAACACACTTTTGAATTTTGAACCTTGGGAATACTTTACCCATCCAAACACGGATTAAATTAGAAGCTGACACACAGATGACAGTGGATGACACTGCTCATTAGCCCACTTCAGCCCAGGCGGCTCCCAGATGTGCCTCAGCAGCTTTCCTCCCTGCCAGCCAGGGGGAGCACCTGGCAGCCTGTGTGTGGCTCCAGAGGAGGGAGATGTTTCATACACAGGCCTGGGGCCAGCTGGCACCTCCCGTGGGTCGCCCCGTAGCCACAGCTGTAGGAAAGCTGAGAAAGGCCCACCTCCGTTGTGATATCTTCCTTAAGGCCGGTTATGGGGTGAATTGTGTCCCCCTCAAAATTAATGTTTTAGAATATTTGAAATCCTAACTCCCAGCACCTCAGAAGGTAACGTTGTTTAAAAATAGGGTCATTGCAGGTGTAACTAGGATGAGGTCATGCTGGAGTAGGGTGGGTACTGTGAAAATTAATAAACTGGAACCTCATTTAAAATGGAGTCAGGAGGCCAGAAGGGGAAGCTCTCATGCACTACAATCCCCAACAGGAAGTAAAAAGACTTCTCTCCCAGCAACAGCTCAGCCAGGGAGAGACAGTCACGGCTCGGCCAGCGAGTGATGGTCACGGCTCGGCCAACGAGTGACGGTCACGGCTCGGCCAATTACAGACTGCTGCAGCTCGGCCAGTGAAAAGCCACCACACTTGGGACTCCCAGTCTCCTCGACGGCCTCTGTTTACAATAGCCTTCTCAACTTCTTCCCCTCCATGAAAGAGCTTCTCATGCCCTGTTGAAGGGCACTTGCACATGTTTTGCCATGGTGGCAGACCCCAAATTGCAATTCTTTGTTGCTTCCGAAGAAATCCATTTTTGCTGGAGAAATAACTGGCTATCTGTTTAAGGTCAACAGCACCTAATCCAATATGACTCCTGTCCTTAATACAAAGGGGAAATTTGGAACAAACACACACAGAAGGCCGTGAGAAGAGGAAGGCAGAGGCGGAGGTGATGCTTCCACGAGCCAAGGAACTTCACAGATTACCAGCAAACCACCAGAAGCCAGGAGAGAGGCTGGCACATATTCTCTCTCACCACTCTCAGAAGGAAGCAGCCCTGCCAAGGACACTCAGATCTTGGACTTCCAGCCCCTAGAACTGTGAGACAATAAATGTCTGTTGCTTAAGCCACCAGTCTGAGGTGGCACTTGGATACAGCAGCCCCAGGAAACCAACACACGGAGTTTCTAGGGAACCTCAAGGCCTGATTTAGAATCACCTTAACCCTTGATGAAAACTAGACCTCACTGTGCCAGGCTCCCAAGGCTGTCTTTAACCTCTGAGACAGTGCGCAGCAGCCTGGTACTTACTGTGGTGAGCCGCGCCCTTGGAGACCATAGTAGACAGGATCTTGAACATCTGGGCAGAGGATCAAGGGCAGGGCTTGCTGCAAAACTTGACCTCGGCTAAAGGAGATTCCAACCTGGGGAACGACACAGTGCTTGAGCCAGGCGGTCCTCAGGCTCACAGCCCCTCACCCCTGGGTGGCTGTGAACAGCAGGCATTGACGGAGGGCTCACCATGTGGCCAACACCTGCTGCTCTCCTCCCCCTCCATGCTCTCTCCCCTACTTGACTTGGTTCTAGCTGCCCTGCCTAACCCTTCTGCTCCCAGAACACGCCCACCTTGGTCCGCCTCAGGGCCTTTGCTTTGGTTGCCTCTTCAGCCAAAAAATGTCCTCTCCCACCCAGCTGGGGGAGGAAGAATCCTCTCCTTTCAGATCTGAGCTCAAATGTCACCCTTCACAGAAGTCTTCTCTCATCACCCCATCCAAAGTGGGTTTTCTTCCCACCCCCAGATGACCTCACTTTATTTTCTTCTCTGCAATTACCCATTATCTGATTTATCACTTTAAAAAATCAGTTTACGCCCACTTCCCCCTAGAATGTAGGCTCCAGGAGAAAGAGGTCTTTTCTGAGTTGTAGCAGAGGCGCTCTTCAAAGCGCCTGGCTCGTCCTTAACTACTCGTGGACGGAGTTTTCATTTTGGCAAAGTAGAGACAGCGAAGTGTCCAAAGTCACACAGCCAGGAAGGGCCACAGCTGGGATTCCAGCCCAAGATTCCTTGTCTCCAAAGCTTGCGCCCTTGCAGCCACATTCCTGCTGCAGCGCCCACGGAGAGGAGTCCGGATGCCGGGAAGGCCTAGGTTAGCGGGGCCCCGGAGCCTAAGACGCCGGACGCACCGTCGGGCCACAAAGCAAGGTGCACAGGGAACGGATGGCTAGATGGCTAGGTAGGTGATAAAGCAAGCAAAGAAAGACTAAGCAAGGGCGGGGAGCCTTGCAAAGAGGCTTTGCGAGGACCGCCCGAAGAGCCCGCCCGGGGCCCAGCGCGCACCCCCGACCCCGCGCGCCCCCACCCCGGCCCCGCGCACCCACCGGCCGCGCGCCTGGGCTCGCTCGGAAGCTTCCGTGCCGCGGGTCCCAGCTCTGCGCGCCGCGCGGCGCTACGTTTACGTCGCCATGGCAACCCTCCTCCGGGAGACGGGCGGTGACGTCACAAAGGCCGCAGGGCCTGCCGGGGTGGGGCCTGGACAGGCGTTTCCTTTCTCCCTCCTTGGTTGTTCCGCGCCGCTCCTGCTCTTTGTCTCTCGTTCCCTTGTTCATTTACTCGGCCTTCACCTCGGGACGCACGTGGTGCAGAAATACACCTGATCCTTTCTGCGGAGTGGACCTCCCTTTCTAGAGGGGTGGTTCGTGAAGTGTGGTCCCCGGGGCCAGCGGCATCAGAAACGCTGGGAACTCGTTAGGAAAGCGAACGTTTGGCCCCACTCCTGAAGCAGAAACTTTGCGTGAGCCGGCACGCTGGGTTGTAAGAAGCCCTCCTGGGGATTCCGATGCCGGCTGGCTAAGGCTTGGAACCAGCGCTCCTTAGGGTGCGTGAGGCACCACGGAGACCCAGGGGCACAAGTTGTATCAGGAGAGAGGGCAGGGGGTGAGGGGATAAAGAGCCGGGATCCAGTTTAGATCGCTCAGATTCAGCTGTTGTGGCCACGGGGCGCCAGGGTCTGCCCTCTGCCCCTCCCCCAGCTCGAGACCCCTGTTCCCCCAAAGAAGCCGGAAACCGCTCCTTGAGTGCTGCCAGTGGTCACCAGATGTCCCCGCACGTCCAGGGGAGTTACAGCCTGACAAGGGCTGCTTGGCGCTGGGGGCACGTCAGGGCTCTGCCTTTCTAGGGACGTTTAGGGGTGCCTAGGGGATTCTGCAGCAGTCTGCAGACCAGCAGTGTGGTGCTAGTGAGAACCCCAGGAGCTCCTGGCCCTGCCCAGGGCAGGGGCATTGGGTGGGAAGACCAGGTCCACTGAGTGTGGAGGGGCTCCCGGAGACGGAAGGAGCGGCGATCCCTGGGTGGTCCCTGGAGGATGGCGTCCCAGCCGGCAGGAACCACAGTGGGCTTTGTACGGGGGAGAAGGGAAGTTTTCTTGTATTAAGCCATATATGTGGTTAGTGCCTGTTGGGGGCGGGGCGGTGGGGGGGGGGCGAGTATTTGTTGCAGCAGCTAGCCTTAGATACCCTGAACAGACAAGTTGCTCCAGTTTCCTCCCCTTGCATTGTCATTCGAAGTCCTAAGTGATCTGGCAGCCTGCCCTCCTCCCCACTGTCAGGGCAGGAGAGCGAAGAGCTGTGCAGCGGGCTGAGGTTTCCGCAGGCCAGACAGGTGCTTTGTTAATTCGTGACTGAGGCAGGGAGGTGAACAGTTCTGAAAGGCTTTCTCTCAAACACCAGGAGTTCTGATGAGACTCTTAGGAATCTAGAAAACAGGCAATCCAGAGAGAGAGAAAAGCTACTGAGTGACAAATAGACATGACAAGCAGTGGGATACACTGGAGTATGTGAGGAAGCCATTTGGTGTAAACCTAATTCGGCCTGACTTTGTTTTTCCAAAGGGCCTGACATGGCCGTTGAGCATGCGTTGTATATCTGCGTAAGCATTTGCTGTGTCCCAAAGACAGGAACAAATGGCCTTAAGATAAAGGTGCAACTCCCCCCCACCCGTCCCCCCCACGTTGGCATTTCCTTAAGGATAAGCATCTTTCCTTAGGCCAGGAACTGATTGCTGCGCTCACCTGTGACCACCCAGCTCGAGACAACAGAACTGCCTCCTCCCTGCTGTGCCCACGGAGACGAGACAGCAGACCCGCTATCTGCTGTGTCCATCACTTGCTGTGCCGACAGAGCAGTCTTGAGACTATTGTAAAAGGGACATTTCAATCCTATGTGAAACATCCTCTCTGGGGGTATATAATCACTCTGTGCACCCCACTTCTTTGGTGCCCTTTCTTCCTTTGGAAAGGAAGGCCCTGGACCATGGTCCTCACATTTTGGCTCAGAATAAACTCACCCAAATTTTCATTTATAGCTTGGTTATGGATTATTTTTGTCGACACTACCACTTCCCTGTTATCAGCAGATCAGTTTATGGACCATAGTGGGTTTTCCGTTAACACTTACAGACTGTTTGCATGTGCCAGGCACTGTCCTCTGGGCTCCACACAAATGGGCCCATTTAACGCAGGCTGCCCTTTGAAGCTGTGAAGTTCACCGGAGGAGACGGGGTCGCCACGGCAATAGGAACGTGCCCAGCAGAGCCAGGGAGCGCCAGAGAGGGGCTGTTCAGGCCACGGAGAGCCAGCCTTGCTCTTAGCCAGACACATTGCCTCTCACAGGAATTGTTTTATAATTTTATGCAATTATCCAAAGCAGTGATGCATACACTTGGCAAAAAGCCCAAGAAGGCCAAGGGTGCAACTTCACAGTGAAGGAAGTTCTCAGGTCAAGTTGTGTGTTCTTGTCTCTGCTTTGGCTGTCAGTTATTTAGACGGTTAGAAAGAAAATCATCCAGAAAATGTGGCCTGCTTTGGAACTTTTAAACTTGGCCCAGCAAATCTAACTGGAAACTCAATTTTCAGATTAAAAGCTAGTTTTAAAAATAAGATGGATGGATGGAGGGATGGACAGTTGGATAGTGAGGTGATCAAAGGCTGGTATAGTAACGTGTAACTTGTAGAACCCCCGTGGTGGCTGCCTAGGTGTTCACTACAAAATTCTTTCCATATTTCTGTCTATTTGAAGTCTGAAAATTTTCATAACAAAATGTTTTTGGGGGAAAAGCTGAGGATCTTCTTAGAGGGGAAAATTGTACTTCTGATTTTGTATTTTCCTCCTCAAAGAAGGTGGATCAGGGTTCTTGGGGAGAGACAGCAGAGATCAACTCTAGCCATTTGAGGGAAAGGATGTGGGGCTCTCCGAATCTGCAGGGCTGCCAGGAGCCAGGCTGGGGATGGGGGCAGGGGCAGAGCCCAGAGCCGCCAGCAGGAAAGCAGCTCCAGGGTGAGGCGGCCACCAGCCAGGCAGGGCCTCAGAGGCACCGTACTCTGCCGGGAGGACAGGTGGCAGGAGGGAGCGGCTGGACCTGTCCTCCAGGGCACCGGGGCTCAGCTGTCTTGCAACACTTACTCTGTGCCCTTGTTTCTCTCGTTCCCTGTTTTTGGAATGACCTTTATTCTGCCGACAAATTCCTACTCTTCTCTCAAGATTCATTTCAAGGGTCACCTCCCTGTGTAGGGTCCCTCTAACAGACCGGTGTGTGCTCTGTGGTCACAGCCTGCCTCCTCCAAATCCATCCCCTGGCATTTCCCAGGGTCCCTGCCACCAGCTGGGGAGGCCCCTGGGTGGGAGATTGAGGGCGGGTCCCGGGGGCCAGGGCGCCCATCCTCGTCCTCTGCTCCTGGCTTCTCCGCTGGGGCTGCCTTGCCGGCAGGCCTGCTGTGGTTCTGCCCGTCAGGAGCCCTGGCTCCTGGGTCCTGGAAGACCGCCTCCGCCTTCAGTCTGCAGCCGCTCAGATTGCCTCGCAGTTCCTATTTCGGCGTCTAGATCTTCAGAGCCTGTGTAACCCACTCCCTGTGTTAAGTTCCCTCTCTTTTAAACTCCTCAAGGGCTGGTGTTTTCCGGACTGAAGACTGACTGTCACACTTTGGAGAGGTAGGACAGTATGGTGGCCAAGAGAATGGGCTGTGGCATCAGCCGGGCTGGGTCCAAATCCCAGGGAGGTCCCTCACTGGCTATGTGACTTTGGACAACTTACTGAAGCGCTCTGGGCCTTAGTTTCCTCATCTAAAAAGTGGGAATAATAATAATGTCTGGGAGGTATGTTGTGTGGTTAGCACAGAGCCTGGCACCTAGCTGGGCCTCAAATAGTGCTTGTCTGCCAGTATTAGAGTGCGGTCTGAGGGGCCTGCCAACCAAGGGAGGGCCATCTGCAGGCCTTGTCCCGTGCGGACACGCCCAGCCAGCTGCAGCGGGCTGTGTGAGGATGCTGAGGGTCGGAGACAGGAAGCTGTTTGCCCAAGGCCAGAGAACTCATAGGCGGCAGAACTGGGATTCAAACTGGGGCAGTCTGACTCCACAGCCCTGGCTATTAACCACCACTGATGTCTCATCCCACTGGCCTGGGGCGAGCAGGGCTCAGCAGGCTGGGGAGGGCCAGGCTGTGGGGCCTGGGGCTGGGGAGGGAGTCTCTTGACTGCTTGGCCAGGCATTGTCCCTCCCCAGCCCCACCAGTGCCTGTGGGCCTTGGGTGGCCTGACATCTGGGCCAAGTACCTCAGCTGACTTTGGAACCTCTCTCCTAGGTGTGGCGCCGCTCATCTCGGTCAACAGCCTGGACAATGCACAGCACAGCCACTGGTGCTCTTGGATGTCTGCGGCTCCCTATGGAAGCAGAAACGCTGCAGGATGCCCGGCGGCCTCCCATTCGGGTCTGGGCAGCGCTGTGGTGTGGGATGCTGCACTGCCCAGGCCTCGTGCATCTGGATTTCCTTCTGCCTTTTCCTTCAGCCTCAGAGGCAGCAGGATATGGAGAGTGACTAAACCACGTCCACTCCACTTTTCGGTGACTCAGGCTTTTTTTTTAATTGAGGTATAATTAACATATAACATATTAGTTTCATATGTGCAACATAATCTTTCGATATTTGTCTATATTGCAAAATGATGAGCACAGGAAGTCTAGTTACATTCATCACCACACATGGTTACAAATTTTTTTCTCTTGTGATGAGAACTTTTAAGATCTACTCTCTTAGCAACTTTCAAATATACAATACAGTATTGTTAACTATAGTCACCTTGCTGTGCATTAAATCCCCAGGACTTATACATTTTACGAGTGGAAGTTTGTGCTTTTTGACCGCTTTCGCTCATTTCACCCACCTCCACCCGCTCTAGCAACCACCGATCTGTTCTCTGTATCTGTGAGTTCTTTTTCTTTTTTTCAGATTCCACATGTAAGTGAGATCATATATACACACACACACGTATATACGTACCATATTCTCTTTATCCATTCATCCATCACTGGACACTTAGGTTGTTTCTGTGTCTTGGCTGTTGTGAATAATGCTAAAGTGAACATGGGGGTGCAGACATCTTTTTGAATTAGTGTTTTTGTTTCCTGCAGACAAATACCAGAAGTGGAATTGCTAGATCATATGGTGGTTCTATTTTTAATTTTTTAAAGAAACCTCCATACAGTTTTCCACAGTAGCTGTGCCAGTTTACGTTCCCCTCAACAGGGCACGAGGATTCCCTTTTCTCCACAGCCTCGCCAGCACTTGCTAGTCCTGTCTGTCGGTAGGAGCCACGCTGATGGCACGCGGGGAGATCTCCCTGTGGTTTGAAGTCAGGGCTCTTCACGAGCTGTGTCTGCCATGTGCACTGCTTCATTTTACCCACTCCACATGGCTGTGGCCCCGTTCAAGCTGCGCTCGGCAGTACCTCTGCCTGCCATGTGTCAGGGGAAGCTGCCAGGTCCTGGAAGTGTGTCTGAAGCACCATCCCCCCTCCCTCTCAGGCCCCTGGACTCAGTGCCCTCACCTCCCTTGTGGTGCTCTGGCCTGGCATACTTTTTATATCTTGGTCAGCAGACTGCTTTCCTGCCAGCTCACATGGACAGATAATTTGATGGGCATCTGGGGAGAAAACAGGGGTGACTTTTGGCACATGTGTTAGACTACAGTACAAGAGAAACAGTGTTAAGTGGGATAATAAGGAAAGTTTGAGAGCCCAGAGTCAGATTCAGTTGGCCTGAATCATTAAGGAGGGCATCCTGGGGGTGGCGTCATCTGCACTGGGTTGAAGGATGCATAGGAGTTAAACAGGCAGTTAGGGCCATGAGTAAGGGCCTTGAAAGAGCAGGGAAGAGTGTGCACCTGAGTTCAGGGAGCACGAGTCGCCCTGGGAGGCTGGGGCAGAGGGTGTGTGCTGGCGAAGGTGGGGGTGGTGGGAGGAAGGCATGGCGGGTGCCTGCCAGGCCACAGAGGGCTGGAGTGCTGTTCCAAGGCAATGAGGGGTCTTTCATTACTCCCCTTGGAGCACAAAGGAGGCGAAGCCACCATGGGATTTGCTACTTACTTCCGTCTTATCTTCGTGGAGAGGATAGAGTGGAGCAGGCAAGCCCAGAGGCAGGCTGGATGCTAGGAAGCCATTTCCAAGGCAGACACAATGTTGCTGCAGATGAAGGTGGAAGCTGTTAGGGTGGAGAGAGGCTGACACAAGCTTCATTTGGGAGACAGGGCAGACAGACTGGCTGTGGGGGGCTCCTGAGTGCCCCGCTGAGCTGGGAAGTGGGTGGGGAGTGTGCTCAGGTCTCCTTTCCAGAAAGAAGCTCCTAGGAGGAGTTCAGCTGGCTGGCAGGCTCCAGCTATTGCACATTCAGGCAGGAGCGCAGCTTCACACCGAGGCCATGCTTTTCCCAGCCAGTCCCAGCCCCTGCCCAAGCACAGCCTGGCCACTCCGGCTCACACGGGACTCCCCCAGTGAGCAAGCTTGGCACCAGCGCTTCCTGTCTGCCTGGGCAGGACATCCTCAGTGCTGCCGCTGGGGCTCTGCCCACCTGTCTCCCTTTGGTGCCTCTCTCCCTTCACAGACCTGCAGGGGCCTGAGTCTCTCCACCTCCTCCTGGCCCCATGCGCTTCCTCCAAACAGGCGTTTCTCCCAATACCTCTCTTGTATGTCTGTTTCTGTCTTGGCATCTGCGCTGACGTGGAGAGTGAGGGTGGGGAAAAAGAAGGAGGAGAGTTGTACGCGGGCTGCATGTGAGGTGCCTGCAGGACATCCCGGAACAGCTGTGAAGACCCAGGGAGGGGGTGGGTGGAGGTGGTGGGTGAGGTCCCTGTGGGAGTGTCTGGGAAGAGGAGTCGCAGAGCAGAAACAGAAGGAGGGACAAAGAGGTGGGAAGAAAAGCAGGCAAGTGTGTCAAAGTAACAGACAATTTAAAGAAGAACGTGGGTGCCAGGACAATTCAAGGGGGAAATAATGGTCTTCTCAACCAACAGTGCGGGAGCAATTGGAGGCCCACGTGTGAAGGAACGAAGGTGGGCTCCGCCTCATGGCTTTCGAGACAGTTAACTCAAAAATGAGTCACGGCCCTCAATACAAGAGTCAAAACTCTGAGAAGAAAACACAGGAGTAAGTCTTGTGACCGTGAGCTAGATGATGGTTTCTTAGCCCTGACATCAAAAGCACAGGTGACAAAAGAAAAAACAGATAGATTAGGCTTCATCAAAGGTGAAAACTTTCGTGCTATAAATGGTACCATTAGGAAAGTGAGAAGACTGAGAGAGAATTTTTGCCGAGTGCATATCTGATAAGGGACTCGTATCTAGAATATATAATGACCTCCCACAACTCATTAGTAAAAAGGCAAGTAATCCAGTTGTTTGGCAAAGGATCTTAATAGACAGTGCTTCAAAGAAGATCTACAAATGGCCGATAAGCACCTGAAAGGATGCTCAGCATCACTAGTCATTAGGGAAATGCAAATCAAAGCCACAGGGAGATAGCACTTCACACCCACGAGGATGGCTAGAATCAAAAAGACAGGTAATAAGAAGTGCTGGGAGGATGCGGAGAAACTGGAAGCCTGCTAATGGGGACACGAAGTGGTGCAGCCACTCTGGAAAACGGTATGGCAGTTCCTCAGAAAGTTAAAAGTTACCACGCACCCCGGCAATTCTACTCCAAAGCATATATCCAAGAAAAATGAAAATCCATCCACGCAAAAACTCATAAATGAATATTCATAGCAGCATTCTTCATACTAGCCAAGAGTTGGAAACAACCCGAATTTCCACCAAGTGGTGAATGGATAAACAAAACATGGGTACTCATGCAATGGAATATTATTTAGCAATAAAAGGAAAGGAAGTACTGATTAGTACTACAACATGGATGCACCGTGGAAACTTTGTGCTAAGGAAAGAAGCCAGTCACAAAAGACGGCAGGCTGTTAGATTTCATCTGCAATGTCCAGAACAGGCAGGTCCGAAGAGGCAGAAAGGAGGTTCGCATTTGCCAGGGGCTGGGGTTGCGGTGGTGTTTGGGAAAACTGGCAGTGACAGCTAATGATTTGTAGATTTTTCTTTTGGGTGATGAAAATTTCTAACATTAGGTCATGGTGATGGTTGTACAACTGTGACTATATTCAATACACTTTGAATGGGGGATTTTTTGGCATATATGAATTATATCTCAATAAATATGTTAAGAAGAAGAAGAAATGCTTTCAAGTGGCTAAGAGATTGAAAAGTGCTCACTGGATCTGCTAACTGGACCACTGGTGGTCGGGAGAGAGAAGTCTGAGAAAGTCCTGGCCGGGGACGGGGCGGGGGGGCAGGTGTATGAGTGGGTCATGGTCATGGCCCTGTCTTGCTCCCTTGAGGGTGTGGCTGGCGCCGACCCACAGTGGACTGGGAGATATGAGCTGGTTCTTCCCTGCAGCTCTGGTGGAGACTAGGCCGCCAATGCCGGACCCAGTGCCACAGCTCAGGAGTCAGACTGCCAAGGCTCGGGGGACACTGCGCACTGGGTGGGAAATTTGCATTGACTTTGTTCTGGATCACGGGTGGGCTCTAGTGCCTTGTCTCCACAGGCTTGGGGTGGGGTGGGGTGGGGGTTCCAGGAGGTTAAAGGGACTGTGGTCAGCCAGGAGGAGGGGCTGAGTCTAGACCAGGCTTGAGGGAATAGAGGAAATGAAAGAGACAGAGAGAAAGAGAGAGAGAGAGAGAGAGAGAGAGGAGGAACAGGGCAAGATAGATGGACTCTGGTGCTGAGGAGGCTGGGGATGAGGTCCAGATATGGGGAGGAAAGACACTCCTTCCATTGTGCCAGGAGACATGAGGCAGCAGGGTGTCACTTCCTGCATTGTGCCCCACAGGAGGGTGTCATTTAGTTTCAGGAACCCAGATAAGGAAGTTCTCAATAATAGTTTCTGACATTATTTAGGTTGCATTTTGCTGTAAGAAACAGAAAACTCCACCATTAAGAAATGATTTAAGGGGCCGGCCCAGTGGCGCAGCAGTTAAGTGGCACTGCTTACTTCAGCAGCCCAGGGTTCGCTAGTTTGGATCCTGGGTGAGGACATGGCACCGCTTGGCATGCCATGCTGTGGTAGGCATCCCACATATACAGTAGAGGAAGATGGGCACGGATGTTAGCTCAGGGCCAGTCTTCCTCAGCAAAAAGAGGAGGATTGCCAGCAGATGTTAGCTCAGGGCTAATCTTCCTCAAAAAAAAAAAAAAAAAAAAAAGGGAAATGACTTAAATGATAAGGAAATAGAATCCCCCATAATGAGAAGCCCCTCAGAACACTTCTTGTCGTGTCTCCTTAGCCAAAAATATTTTTCATGCATGGAGAATGGGAACTCTGGGAGACCCCAGCTGTGGGGCATATGGCCCTGGGGATGAGGGCAGGTGCCTGCACACTGTCAGTTGTGTTAACAAGGAAATGGGGAGATTTGAATGGACAATGGCTGAGTGCCCAATAGCATCTGCTGTACCCATAGCTCCCCGCTTCACGATATCCCCACCCTGGGCAGGGGCTGTGCATCTTGCTCACTGTCACCCCAGCATCTAGTGCTGCGGAACGCAGTGCAGGCTGCCCCTGGAGATACCCATGTTCGCACGTACGCAGAGATATCCTCCCTGTGAGGGGGGGTCATGGGTTGTTATTTTTTCCCTGTTGATTTCTCTACACTTTTTACAATGGAGTTGGAGCAATGTATTATTTCCATAATAAACAAAGTAGTTAAAAAGTAGAAGAAACTCCTCTGGGACACAGAGGTCAAGCCGTCAGGGGGGCTGACGGGGCCTTGAGGGTC